CCAGTAAACTCTAATGGATTTTGCATTGTTTGTAGAGAAAATTGCTGAACCTGAAAATATATGTTACATATTTAGAATGTCATTTTAGATATTTTATTTTAGCTATGTTACTGAATCTGTTTTAATCAACTTCATATTATTATAGTTTACTATAAACTTTCTTATTTTAAAAGTGTTTACCTCTTTCCAAACTGTACTATATTGAAGTGAATTTGTCAGTTGATGAATTATTTTCTTAATTTTGTTTGCCTGAAATTTATTATTTATTTTATTTTATCTATTGTTAATTTATTACTAATTTTAAATATATATATTAGTTCAAGATAACAAAATTTTACCTTAAATTTAACGCTTTCACAAATATGATTTATGGCGTAGAACCGCATTAAAAGTGTAAAGATCCACATAATAACACCAAATAAAAAGTTTATTTCTATTTGTGCTCTATTTATTTGTGTTAAGGCAATAGTAAGAAATAAATAATAACACATTGCTGTTAAGTATATAAGAATAGATACTGCTTCAACGGCTATTTTCATTTCAAACATCAAGTTCAGTTCACGAGCAATGCGACATAATTCTAAATGAAGATGCCTGTAAAAAAAATTATTCTTTATTATTAAAAAGTGTAGTAATTGCAAGAAATTAAAAATTATATTAATTGTTTTTAGATATACATAAAAATCTATTAAATTTTATTATTATAAATGAGCCTTTACATTGATGTCCAAACCGTTCGCTTGTAATTATTAATACGCAATTTATGTCGTCAAGAGAATGCAGAGTTATTCCATGTAAACCTGAGCTTATGCTCCTCTTTTACTAATAGACATCGCATATGCTCGTTCACTTTATCAAATCTGATTGCGACGTATCTATATTGCACATACACATACACACAAAAAAGATTATCTTAGAAATTATAATATATTATATTAATTCGCAAAATATATAAAGAAATATAATGAATGAATATACGAACCGTAAGAAGAAAATGAATAGTAAGTCCATAAAGGCATTGATATAAATAGGATGATTTAGTATATAAGCTACAAGTAATCCCCAAGGAGCAATTTTTTCTGTATTCCACCACCATATTGTGTCGTAAACATTTGTAATAAAAGTAAATATAATCCATCCAAATACTGTTCTTATTGACCACATATACATTTTTGGTACATTTTTGGAGTACCCAGTTCTTCTAAAGTGTCATCCACAGTAGCAAGCTTCTCT